TTTCCACCCCATCCTTCTCTAATACTAATAATAATATCCTTTTTCCTCCGCTCCTTCCTTGAGTTTAACTACTCTAATTAATATTTCCTCAAGAGTATATATATATATGAGGGTATTTTGTTAAGCAAAGTCGCGTTTGATAGGAAAACGATAGGAAATTGGAGGTGAGTGTTTCTTTTTTTTTTTCTTCAGTGTATTTTCACGTTGCTATTCTTTGTTACTGTTTTTCGATTTTTATATTTATATAAATATAAATATATTTATATTTCTTAAGTTCTTCCGTATTTTGCCCGTTTACTTATCTTCTTTTTTTCGTCTTGGGTATGTTTTCCTCCACAAACAATGCACACACAACACATAAGTATATATATATATATATATATATATATATATATATACTTATTACGTATACATTGTTGCAGTTTCTTTGTTATTTTTATTTATTTTATCTTTGCAGAGTGCGATGTTGAATAATGATGAATCGACTAGTTTTATAGTACAGTAATTTTTTTCTTTCTTTTTTCGTTTTTAGTTGACATGAAAAAAAGAAAACGAGGAAAGAAAAGAAGAAAAAAAAAAAAAAAAAAAAAAAAAAAAAAACAGAGTTGCTACTGTTCTTCTTCTTGTTGTTGTTGGTCTCATTTTTCTGTTGTCTTTACAATAAAGAGATGGGATACAATCAACGTATATATATATATATATATATATATTGGCGGCAGATGTATTCACCCCCTCTTTTTTTTCTTTTCTTTATTTATTAATTGGTATATTTCATTCATTGCTACAGTTATTGAGCAAAGTAAATGGTATACAACGAAAGAAAGAAAGAAAAAATAAATAAATGTTCAATGATATATAACAATAATAAGGGTAAAGGATATGAACCGCCATTGAATGTTGAGAAAAGAAAAAAAAATAAATGATAGCGCAATTGTAGTTTTCTTATTACTCTGGTACACGTACACTGAAACACAGAGACACACACCCATACACATACCCATACAGACACACACATATATATATATATATATATATATATATATATATACGTAGTGATCACAGCACTACAGATATATTTTCGTAATATTATGTACTCTTCCTTCTTATTATTATTTTTAATATTTCCTTTTTGCTATGGTTATGGCTAATTTATTTCTTATCAAGTTTTTCTTCACTTTCCACACTTCGTCTACCACACTGATGCCATAAATACATTAGTTTTTTTTTTATTTCTGTTATTGTCTCTTTTCTTTTTTCTTATGGGGTACACAACCGTTGCTACGGTGGGTTTGGCTTTTTATTATTTCTGAGTCCTATAATATTCTTTTTTCTTCTTTTTTATTTTCGGTTATCAGAATATATCTTTTTATTTAATTCCTCGGAGTTGGGAGATGTGCGGATTTATCATGATAACAAATGCCCCCTTTATCTCTTTGAGTGTTCTTCTATCTCTCTCTCTCTCTCTCTTCTCTCTCCTGTTTCCACCCATTATTATTAAACGGCTTTTTCACAAGTAAAACATACAAGGTACACACATTGTAGCTTTTTCTTTTTATTCCTCTATTACAGTGTATATATATATATATATATATATATATATATTGAGGATTTCTCTCTTCTTTACTCTTTTCTTTCATTTTCCCTCATGTTCTTCTGGGGCAGTTACAACTTCCAGGCGCCGCAGCTGGTGGAGAACCCCAATCGCCCACCCCTGCGCTATCCAGTGTATGTGCCGCCCGCCCCGTCAATGGTGAGTAGTGCCGGCGACGATGCCGAGCGATTAGAGAGTTTGGATGCCAAACGACTGGTGGTGAAACTCGTGGCTTGTGGTCAGAAACATATCGTGGCACTCGTGTCCCCAGCGGAGAGGGGAACAACTACAGGAACGATGGGCAATCATGATAATAATAATAATGATAATAATATGGAATTCACGGTGTATGGAATGGGGAGTAATCACAGTGGACAGTTGGGACATCGTGTGCCGGAATACACAACGACGTTAACAAAACTACATATTGAAGAACTCTTATCGGCGGGTACAACGATAACGAGTATTGCCTGTGGAAATAAACACACACTCATCTGTACAAGCGCTGGTGGTGTTTTTGCGGCAGGTGATAACACTTTTGATCAATTGGGTGTTCGTACGACAGTGGATGGGTTTACACCAGTAAGTGGTCTGGCCCATATTCGCAGTGTCTACGCTGCTGGAAATGTCAGTTTCGCCTTAGATGCAAAAGGACAAGTTTACAGTTGGGGTGAAGCCCAATATGGACAATTAGGGCATGGTGACACCGGTGAGCGTCTGGACTCGCGAACACTGCAAGAGGTACGCACAAACGTATCGGTGCCAACACTTATACAATGGTTTGTCCGCCATCGTGTCTGTGTGTTGGAGCTGGCGGTGGGCCGCACACATATGGTTTGCCGCAGTCAAGATGCGGTGTACACATGCGGTGATGGATCGTATGGTAAACTCGGTAGTGGCAATACGAGTTCCAGTGCAACACCGCGGTGTGTCTCTTTTCCACCACGCGCCGATACGGAGAAACTCGTCGGTGTGGCTGCTGGTGATGAACACACACTTGTGCTTCGTGTCGCCAACCTCTCTCATTCCTATACGAGTACTACTAATAATAATAATAATAATAATACTTCTTCTCCTGATCCTACTTGTTTTACATCCGCTGTGGTGTATCACTTTGGCCGTACGCCACGCGGTGACGGGCAACTCACACCAAATGTCATTGCCGCAGCTCCACCAACTATCGCACGTGTGATGGCTGGACGCGGTACACTCTCTGCAGCTCTCACCCACGACGGGAAACTTTGCGTTTGGGGAAAACACGGATACGCGCGGGTAAGTAACGGTACACCAAATGGGGCCCCACGTGCAAGTCCACAACTCGTGCAGGCACTTGAGCCTTTTGTTATAACAGACGCCGTCGTGGGTGGTACATTTGTTGTCGCCATTGCAGATAGACAACGAACAACAGAAACAAAGGAAAAGACAGATAAAGATGGAAAAAGATGGGATATTGTTATTCCACATGATGATCGTCCTGAAGAACGAGATACAGATACTGCTGGGACATCATATGAGGCATCTGTGCATGCCTTTCTCACACAATACATGGGATCCGCACTTGCCAATACGTATATCACTAAAATACCACCAGTACCTCCTCGTACAGATCATAACGCCAACGCATTTGTACCTAAGGGGGCACACGGCTTAGAAGTAGGGCAAAAAGTACGATTATGGATGACGGACATTTATGCCCTTGGTACTATTCTTCAAGTACTCGGCAACTCAGATGAAGGTGGGGTAAAGACAACAAATGAGGAAGAAGCAATCAAAGACGAACGTAATGAGAACAACGAGATGAGTAGTGAAACAGAGAAAAACACAGAAAACGAAAAGGAACACAAGCCCGGGTGCCGCTTTAGAATTGAATGGCAACGAGACGATTGGCATGAAGAGGAAATTACACTTTACTCTGACGATGAGACGTTAGACGAAAAAAATCCTAATCGTTGGCAGCCAATCTGGTTTCTCCAAGGAAGGACAAAAAATGGTGAATACGTTCTTGACAGATAAAAAGAAGAAAAATGTGGTAAACCACAACATGAACCAAACGCTTGAACTACACAGAAAACAGAAAAAAGAAAAAAAAAAGAGCATATGACTCCAAAATAAAAGTACGAGACCGAACAAGAATAATATTTTAAAAAATAACAATGATAATCATAAACACTATCCTAGCTATCTAATACATCAACATTTCAATTAATACCAAAAATTCAACTTTTTCCCAATCTCTGCTACAAAAACAAAAAAAAAAACTAGGAAGGTAGCTTCACAAAACAAGAAAAACATGAATAATCACAGCAGTATACCCGCATTACCTGTACGACATGATGACCATGACACAACATCACAGACTTTGATGTCCCCATGAGCAAGAAAAATTGTCGCCCCAGTCTGATCGCACTCTCCCCACCTTTTTTTGTGTGTTTATTTTTGTGTGTTT